ACAATATGTTGTTTACAAGAAACACACTTGAAGCAGAGAGACACATACACAGAGAGTAAGAGGCTGGAGACAAAGGAACATGGCCTAGAAATACCAAATCTCAAACTATATTATAAAGCAGTAATCATCAAAACTATTTGGTAATGGCTAAGAAATAAAGTGATGGATCAGTGGAATAGATTAGATACACAAGACACAGTAATCAATGACCATAATAACCTAGTTTTTGATAAACCCAAAGACCCCAGCCTTTGGGATAAGATCTCACTATCTGATAAAAACTGCTGGGAAAACTGGAAAACAATAGGACATAAAGACCAACATCTCACATCATATATGAAGATAAAATCAAAATGAGTGCATGATTTATACATAAAGGGTGGTGCCATAAGCAAATTAGAAGAGCAAGGATAGTTTACCTGTCAAATCTATGGAGAAAGGAAGAATTCATGACCAAACAGAGACAGAAAGCATTACAAAATGTAAAACAGATAATCTTGATTATATTAAAATAAAAAGCTTTTATACAAGCAAAACCAATGCTGTTAAGATTAGAAGGAAAGCAGAAAGCTGGGAAACAATCTTTATATCAAGTGTCTCTTATAAAGGCCTCATTTCTCAAACATATAGGGAACTGAGTCAAATTTATAACAATACAAGCCATTCCTCAATTGATAAATGGACAAAGGATATAAATAGGCAGTTTTCAGATGAAGAAATCAAAGCTATCTATAGGCATATAAAGAAGTGCTCTAAATCTCTTTTGATCAGATAAATGCAAATTAAAACAACTCTGAGGTACGACTTCACACCTATCAGATTGGCTAATGTGACAAAAAAAGAAAATGATAAATGCTGGAGAAGATGTGGGAAAATTGGGACATTAATGCACTGTTGGTAGAGTTGTGAACTGATCCAACCATTCTAGAGAGCATTTTGGAGCTATGCCCAAAGGGCAACCAAACTTTGCATAACCTTTAATCCAGCAATACCACTATTAGGTCTGTATCCCAAAGAGATTATAAAAAAGGGAAAAGGACCCACATGTGCAAAAATATTTATAGCAGCCCTTTTCATGGTGGCAAAATATTGGAAACTGAGGGGATGCTCATCAACTGGGGAATGACTGAACAAACTGTGGTACATGAATGTAATGGAATACCATCATTCCATAAGAAATGATGAGCAAAAGAATTTCAGAAAAAACTTGAAATGATTTACATGAACTGATGCTGAAGGGAGTGAGCAGAACCAGAACATTGTACGCAGTAATAGCAACATTGTGCAATGACCAACTTTGACAAACTTAGCTCTTCTCAGCAATGCAGTGATCTAAGAAAATTCTAAAAGATTCATGATAGAAAATGCTATCCATATCCAGACAAAGAGCTGATGGACTCTGAATACAGATTGAAGCATTTTTTTTTTCACTTACTTTATTCTTTTTTTGTTTTTTTTTCCCTTTCAATCTGTTTCTTCTTTCACAACTATGACTAATATGGAACTATGTTTTATATGATAACACATGTATAATCTATATCAAACTTCCTACCATCTTCAGAAGAGGGAAGGTGAGGGAGGGAGGGAGAAAAATTTGGAACTCAAAATCTTTGTAAAAATGAATGCTAAAAATTTTCTTGTCATGTAATTGGGAAAAAATAAAATATTAATTAAAAAAAGAAATAGGAAAATTCAAAAGTGAGGTGGGTTTATGGAGAAAAAATTAGTTCTGTTTTGGTTATGCTAAATTTGAGATATTTACAAGATATTCAATGGGAATTGTTCAGCAGACCTTTCTTGATGCAGGACTGGAGCTCAAGAGAGAAAATAAACCTGGATATCCAGTAGTCACCTGCAGAGAAGTGATAAATTGAATCCTTGGGAATTGATAAAATAACAAATAGAAAGGGTGTAGAGAGTGAAATGAAGAGGTTCAGAATAACACCTTAAGGCACAAAACAGTTGGGGGTAAGAGAGGAAGGGAAGATCCAGCAAAAGAGAGTGAGAAAGAAGCAACTACTATGTCCAAGATGACATGTCAGACAACAGGGGGCATAGAACTCTAGTACTTTTAAGTTCTAGTTTTTAATCTTTCTTCACTGAACAAAAGTAATGAAATCAGTTTAATTTTCTGGTTGTTTTTGCTTTAATTAGCTTTTTTTAAATGTTCAAATTGATTTGTAACAAAATTTTAGTATACAAAAAAGTTCTAAAGATGTCCCTGAGGCCATTTGTACATACTAATGCAACCTAAATTAAGGAATTAGCAACCTATGATAGATAGATTTAAGTCAAGGGACCAGAGAAAAGGAGTGAGGAGTGGGTTCTTCTCAAAAAGAAAAATGGACTAAGAAATGTAGAAGCAAGAAACTGACATTGACAAAAATGGAGAACTGGACAATAAGGGCCCAGTACTGATAGTATGCTCAGATTTCACTCCTTGATGGGTTACTGTGCAGATATTTGTCTGATTTCAATCCAGTGAATGGTACTTGTGGGGATCTATTTCCATCCATGTGTAATTAAGTGGCTGGTACTATTTAACAATGGAATCTTCTGATGATGACTTGGAATTGCTGACCTGGTATTCAGTTCATATAAAAAAGAGATAATGCCAGTCTCCTAAGTTTTTTTTTTACCCCTCTATGAGCTGTTGTGTGGGAGCAGCAGCAAATTGTATTCCTCCATTTGGATGCCATGCATCTGTGAGCACATGATACTTCTGTTTCTTTTGTTAACAGAAGAAACAATGCTTTCCTGATCTTAGCCAACAGAGTTTTGAGATACAGAATTGATCAGCTCATGACCTTGTGAACTTTAAAAGGTCGGAAGAACCATCAGAAGTCCTAATAGGTCAATAGCAGAGTTCACTGGAGGTAGGAGCAGCAGCTGATGACAGAGGAAACATCTGCAAGTCAAAGGGTGGATGGTGATGGCTATAGGGATTATCAGTCCTCTCAATAGAGAAGAAATGCAAAGTAGATTTAGAAAGGCAACCACATTCAGAGCCCAATGGAGAGCTACATCAAAGGGAATCTATGATGACTCCACAAAGGGAGAAAAGGATCTTGAAGCCCGCAAACTGGCGGTTACTCCAGGGCCACACATATTCTCTATTGCCTTTGTACTTTGTTTTAGGCAACTTTCCCCCAAGAACTTTGTGTGTGCAAGAGGAGAGTGTGTCCCCTGGGTTGAGGGGGGAATTTTTTATAACTATTTTTACTGTAACTTTCTTAGTAAATATCCTTTCTTCAATGCTAATAGAGTTCTACTGGTTGATTAATAATACGAGGCACACTAGATGGGGGCTTAAGGAATATAGTAATAGAAATCCCAACTACTCAGTGTTACCCCAGAATCCTGAATGGTGTAGGAGTTAGCTTCACTCTGTTGACCCAACCTGCCATTGTGAGTGAGAGTTGGAAGACTGAGCCCAGCAGGGTGACTACACTGTGATGGACCTGTTTTCAGATAATTCAGATAGGGTATCATGTGAAAGAGTGGTTAAACTGTATTTCTTAATCCATCTCAGTTAAATTCAATTCAACAAATAGTTATTAAACCCCTACCATATGCAAGGCACTGCTCTGGACCTGGAGAATTCAAAGATAAAAACCATACTGTATCTTTCCTTTGCATCCTTTATATTCTACTTGGGAATAGGGCTACAGGGCAAATACAGCAATAATTATGTACAGAACAGCTAGGATGGGAAGTGACAAAGGTGAGATCCAGACAAATAGGTCTGTGTCAGGGGTAGGGAACCTGCTGTGGCCCTCTAGGTCCTTGGGTGTGGTCTTTTGATTGAGTCCAAGTTTTACAGAACAAATCCTTTTATTAAGGGGGTTTGTTCTGTGAGGTTTGTATTCAGTCAAAGGACCTCACTCAAAGACCTAGAGGTCCACATGTGGCCTCAGGGTCACAGGTTCCCCACCCCTGGTCTATGTATATTTGAAGAAGGAAACGAGAACACTTTCATGGGGGCTGAGGGTGAAGGAGAAAAGTCAGCCATAGAGCTGAGGAAGGGAAGGATTCTAAAAGGAATAGATGAGGAGGATGAACATTCTAGGTATGAGGGATGGCCTATGCAAGTACTCAGAGGTGAAAGATGATTCTTCAAGTTCCAGGAACACAATAGGTGGTAGTCCTGGTTAGCTGGAGTTTATAGGAATTAAAGGAGAGAAAAGGGAAATTAGGCCATAAAGGTCTAAAGGAACTCAGATCGTAGGGGCAACTTCCCATTGACTTTAGGGGAATTAAGACAGAGGAACGAAAACAAGGGAATGTGCATTAGGAAGGTTATTTTGTCATCTGGGTAAAAGAGGAATTGTGCCTTCAAAGGTGTAAATAATGTGACATTAATTTAATTAATTAATGGCATTAATTAATTTAGTGCCATTTAAAAATCTTACTAACTTTGCATTTCACAGAAAATTGCATGGTGATCTCTTCCCAATTGTTGGTAATTCTGAAGCCTTCGATGGAGTGTTCCTTTCTTAATTACAATTGTCTACATGGAGACTAACTAAAAAATTAAGACTTCTATACATATGCACTTATCATTGACATTTTCATAGCCAATATTTATTTACAATAGAGATGTCTCAGAAATCTCTTTCCAAGTTAGACATTGTTATTTACATTTTGCAGATAAACCAGGTGGGAGCCAAGATTATAGAAAGAGCTATTTACAAAAGTAAATTACTGGGAAAACTCATGCCTTTGGGTTTCAGACCAGGGCCTCTATAAACCTACATGCTTAAACTCTTCTGCATACCTAAACATAAATATATGCATGCATGTATTTACAATAATTGTTGGTCAAATGCACACTTCATGCATATCATTTCCACAGGAGCAATCATTTTGCTAAATGCACAATTTACTTCAGAGGCTCTTGTGCAGGCTGTTTATCAAAAGATATGCCCTGATATGTAGCTCTTTGCAAAGGAACAGGATTTGAGGCAGCTCGGAGTTTCCTCTTCAAGTAGGTCTAAAACTTTTTTTCTTCTATTCAACTTCCTTCCTTTTTATAACTGTCAGAACTGAGAAGCAAGGGCTGAGAGACAGAGGCACCCCAGAGGGAGACACGATCAGCTGCAAGTAAGTTCAAATATCACGGGGAGATTGGAGACCACGGTGGGTGGAGGGAACGATGGGGAATCTCTGGACCTAAGTGACTGAACTTCTGTACTTTATTTTTCCTGGGAGAGTCAAGATACCTTATTTAGAGGCCATCCTATGACAAGAAGTGTTGGGGCAGTGACAGCAGCAGGGATGGTCTTGGCTGTACCAGAAAGGGAAGTCAGAGTTGAGCTATAGCAAATAAGTCAGAGATAACCCTGAGGAGAGAGATGAGAGGCCAGACCCCTGCCACCCACAGCCCAGATTCCTTAGTGATGGGCAAAGGTGGAAGCTATGTGCGTGCTTGTGTGTCCAGAGAAGGGTACCCTATTAAGATAAAAGCAGGCACCAGGCCAAATTTAGGAGTGGTTGGAAAACTATAAGTCAAACCTGATATGGAACATCTCAGTGGATGGTGGGTTGCGGTGGAGAAATGTGGTTTCCTGTTTTTAAGCAGACTTTAAGAGTAGACAAAAATGGCTCAGTGTTCACCAAATTTAAATTGCTCTCATATATGTGCTTTTTGGTGATTTAAGGGAAATCTATAAACTGCAACCACCATAGAGTACAATGGAGTTTAACAATGAAAGGGGACGTGCTGGTAGGACACATTGTTATTTATTAACCAAGAGTGCTTTCCTAGTATTTCTAAGACTAAAAAAAAAACGTAATAAAATCCTATGGCCAGCTGGGCAGAGAGACAAATGCTATGCTGCCATATTTTTACTCCTTTACATATGAGGTTATTGAAAACAGATCAAATATGATAATAAGTAAGAAAACACACACGCACACACACAAACTGTACTAAATCTCAGGCTTCTGAAAAATTGAAACAGAATCTAGCTCTTTCTTTGTATGCTAGGATAATGGATCATTTTGATCTTTTAGAGGGCTGTATTGGTCACCTCACAGGGTGACTGATGTCTTAACACTAGCTGTGTGACCTTGGGCAAGTCAGTCATCTTTCAATGACCCCTACTCTACTAGGCTATTGTGAGGATCACAGCAATTTCTATCATATATACATAGGTGCTTATTGAGTCCCCTTCTTCAACTCTCCATCTTTGAAATGTACTTTCTGTTTATATTTTAATCTGGCCTGTAATTAATCTCTAGATTTGGCCAAGGTTGGGTGTTGGACTGGTGACTTCTTGTGATAGATTTAATTTTTCCCAGGTTCCCCCCCCAGGTAACAGTAGGGGGAGGGGCTAATATCATGCCGTACTCCCCACGGTTTGAATTGCTTACAGTAAAAATTTCTCTATATGACGAGTTATTCTCTTTTGTGGCCTAACACTGCAGGGATGTTCAAAGAAGAAAAGATGGCTAAGTATTCATGTGTTAAGAAGAAAGAAGCAGGGGAAATAATGGTTTTTTATGCATTTTGTTCAATTTTTTTGTGTTTTTTTTTGTTTTTTGTTAATCTTACTATTGAATTTCTGCTATGTATACGTTTGTCATAGAAACAAACAGATTGCATTAGTACTGTGTATTAGTTCAAAAAATTAGTTGCAGAATAGTGAACTATTCTATAAATATAGAATTTAATGAGTCTAATCCCTACCCTTGATATTTTTTATTCATAGTAATAAGGTCTTAAGTAAAACTGCTAGAAATCCCACAGGTTACTCTCACGTTAATACTATGCTTTAGTAGGCAGGGATTTACTGCTAGGTTAGGGGACCCTGATATGAAGGATTCATTTACCATTAAAGTTCAGCCTAGGAAAGTAACTTTGTAGGAGGAGAAATATCTTGAGGGATTCTTCAAAAAGCAATGTGACTTGAACAGTGCAGCCAGCAGGAAGAAGACGTCCAAGGTAGGGAAAGGCAGGGACAATAATTACCTAGGAAGGTGTTTTCTAAAGTGGTCATTGGGAGAGTGTTTTTCAATCACATGACTTAAGCAACTGTTTTGTTGGTTCCAAGTCCTCATAACTGTCAAAATGAACTACATTCCTCAGTGCCGGTTGTTACGTTTCTGTAGAAAACCCTACCATTTTTGAGTTCCACATCCAGAGACTGGTAGAACTAGAAAATTTTGCTTACTTAAAGTCTTCTTTTCTAAACACACGTAATCATTAAAAGTGTGCTGTGTTCTTTTCATGTTTTTACATTTAATGTATATTATCAGATCTACCTTTTTAGAGAATATCAGTAACTATTACGTTATTATTATTACTGCTTATCTGGTACTGATTTAGGCAGCTCTTCAATACATCACTTCTCTTTCCTTCTGTTCTTCTTGCTCCTTACATATAAATCTCAGTTGTAAGGAATATGCTGATAAGAAGCATCAGTCAGGCAGGAAAAGTCACTTGGTATCGGCAAGAAGCAGAGAGAATGGAACTCTGCTTACTGTAGTTATGCTACTGAGGTTACATGATAAAGCCACAAGTTTTTTAGTTTCTGACAAAACATTACTCCCTTCAGACTTGAATTTCATGATTCTGGCTTAGCCCTAACTTTTGGGCATCTGTCCTCTTCTTAGGATGGGGAGGAGGGAGCAGCTACGGAGAATCCCTTATCTAACACAACCCCGGGGAGACGAGACTACAGCCACATCACAGAATCATGTGGGAGTACTGCTTAAAAGGTGGTTTAAGGTGATTTAAGAATATTAAAAGGAAGCCAACTCCTCAGACCTCTTAGGAGCAGAATTCAATAGGCTCTAGATTTGCAGATTCTCAACCATTTTTGTATCATGTACCCCTTTCGCAGTCTCATGAAGCCTATGGACTTCTCAGAAGAATGTTTTTAAATTTATAAAATAAAATACATAGATTGCCAAGGAAGCCAATTATATTGAGCTACAGCAGTGAGAATATTTTTAAAACATGTTCACAGACCTCTGAGACTTCCATGTTCCTCAACTCTTGTCCCCAGCTGGAGTTTACTATCTGCTTTCCTCTGTTTGCAAGGCTGGAGAAGCACTTGGAGGAGCAAAGCCTTCATTATTTCCTTCCCTGTGAATTCTGAGAAAGTAAAGAGAAAGGACTGGATGGGGGAAGGTTAAGGTTAAGGAAAGGCAAAGGAATCTGAAAGCCTTGGTAATGGCCTCACTCTCTGGGAAAACCTGCTCCGTTAACCATTAAACATTTAACGTACCTTGAATCTTCACTGAAAAGAATACTGTGTCATGAGCAAAATAATATTAATTAATTATTATTTATAATTTATTATTATTATTATAATTCTAAAAACCTCTGCATTTGAGGCATGCCCTATCCTAGATCTGTATCCCCAGAGATGAGCCTGAATTGTTCCTGTCTTCTGGGCTGGGAAGAATAGAGCTGCCTGAATTGAAGGTAAAATGAACATATTTGCTTAGACGCTCACCCCTACAGTTCTGCATTTTCTACTTGTACTTAAGAGGTAATTAGGTCTTCTGCCCTTCAGCACTCCTCCCTTTCCCTAACAACCACTCTCTATAAAATATTCTATATCATTCAACACACTCTAGTAAGCTCAGTTTCTGGGATTCATCTTGGCCTCCACAAGTTATAATATTGCTCATCAGGATTTCCTCCCCGGCTCTGACTTTGTCCCCTCTGCTGACATTTCTCAGCATCCACAGCTGACCTCTAGCTTCGATTAAGAAAGGGAACAGCAAATGGAATCTAAAATTAAACTGTCTGTGAAGAAGTTAAAAAAATATAATAGTTCTATCCCTACTTTAATGTTTATTCAGATTATAAACAGTCCTCATAATTCCCAGAACCCCTTGTCCCTTTCATACTCCTCAAAGAAATGAGTTCTATTTTTTGCGAAGGAAATACTGACACATCCAGAGAGTACATTGTAAGTCTTGTGGGAATAAAAATTTAATGTCCATTCAGTCAGCTCCCAAGGGTCATGGATGCCTATGGTGGCGCCTATTCCACCACCACCACCACTAATAACAATAAACAAACAAAAACAGTGGGAAAGTGAGGGGATACACTAAAACAGTGGTCACCCTACACTGAATTAACCATTATGGTATCAATCTTAACCAAAACAGCCAGAGTGACTAATTCTTTCTCTCAGTCTGTTTGGTTTCGAGTGTTTTCAAGTTGTTTAAATGGGTCACCAGATTCAAAAGGAAATACAAGATTTGGTCTAAATCCCCTAGTCACACCAGTCAGCTCAGTCTTTTGATTGGGAGGAGTTAGCACTTGTATTTTTCTCCTCTGACTTCCTGAAGATGCCACAGTGAAAAGCGTGGAAATGTTCCACATTGTCTGACCAAGATAATTTTGCAATAAAGCCATTATTAATTTATTTATAACTAAACCTACTGGAAAAGAACTGTTCTCCATCATTATTTTGCTTAATAATATATATACATATATTTTTAAGAAACCAAGTAATGGCATTAGACAGGATATGCTTATTTATATTGGTCTGTCCTAGGCAAAACTTGTGGCACAGGTAAGCTTAAGTTTATTTGTTTTCTGTGTCTAACCTGAAGAGTACAAGTCAGTATCTCAGCATTCTCAATGTTTAGTAGTGTTTTGTTGGGTAAATAATTTTTTTAATTGGGTATCAATAAAATTGAGTTTATGCAAACTAAGTGCACAGGAAAATGGAGACAGTTATCTGGATAATTTTAAAATAAATTCCTTCACTGAAGACAAAGTGAACTTTGGTGCCTGAATTTTCCAGATTGAGGACATTAATGCAACTCTATCCTCACTCTAGAAAATTGCTATGCATGGAAGAGTAGGTGGGTTCAACAGGATGAAAAGAAGATAAGATGAAGTTTAAAAATTATATGCTTCTGATACTACATTCTCCTCTTCCTCTTTCATTTATTTTCACAATCATTTGCGTTTGAAATTGGTAAGAATGCTAGAGGAAGAGGAGGCAGGAAACAGAGCAATTAGAGGATGATATAATTACAAGTATAAAGGAACTTCCTCCAAACTAATGAGCTCACTTCAGCTTGACTCCAGAAATTGTGAAGAGAGAAAGTTTTGTGAGACTATGTATGTT